ACTCTCGTCGTTTCTTATTTTTGCTTCAATGTCAGATTCAATTTAAGATTGACCATTACCAATACAAATTCTATATAATATTTTTACTTATTTAACCCTGTACGAAAATGACGAATAGTCCAAGCTACTAAACGTAGCGATTAAAAAATCGCAAGGGAAAGGGTTGGAAAATCCTACAATCATTCGTAAGTCATCGATAAACGCTAGAGTTGGAACGATACAAAGTACTTCGTGACCCGTTTGTAAACCGTTTAATCCATCGGTACATTTCCTGGCGAACTCCGTTCTCCAAGAGTTACGTTCGCGCTGCCGGTTGCAAAAGCCTGTGGAATACCTGTACTTTACTTTCACGAATGAGTTTCTCGTGGAGAGTTAAACGGTGGATCAGGTGGTAGATATCCGTGAGGCGTGTCGTTGGATTCGGTGAATTTACGCGATCGAGCAAAAACCTCTAGTCCGTGTACCTGTGCCCCTGTTCTGCGAGATTCTCACCTGTATAGTATGTAAATCGTTGATTATCCTGTGTGTGTGCCCGCGCGGGCAGTCGTTTCGCAGTTCTACCTGACCGAGGCCGAGAACGAGTACGTGATACGGGCGAACAGCGCGATCATGAAATGCAAAATACCGAGTTTCGTGTCCGAGTTCGTTCAGGTGGATCAATGGGTGGCCGACGACGGAACGGTTTACACGACCGGAGAGGAGGATTACGGTAGGCGGAGACGGTGTGAGAAACGTGCTTCCGTTCTTTCCATTCCGCCCTTGCACACACGCCTTTTCTGTGCCTCCAATTTCAACGTTTCATTTCCTCTATCCGAACGAAACGAATTCCGACGGGACGGAAGCGGAGCACGCGCGATGCACAACGCGAATATCGTCCTCCCGTTCGCCACATACACACGTTACACTGCTTCTAAGTATTTGTCCGGTGTTATCGACTGACGTGACAAATTTGAGAAAAGATGTACCGTGGAATTTTGGGTATCTACGGTGTGAAGATCTAAGAGGATAGCGAATCTCGTATCCCCTGTTTCCTCGATTTCTATGTAATATCTCATTCGTAAGAACGAGGATATTGCGAATAAACGGCTGGACAAATGCTCATCAGCATTACGGTTTCCTGGCAAGACGTTGCGCGTTGCAGTGGTCCAGCAGTTCTACGAGACGAGGGTCATCGACGAGTTCGTGTTGCGCGGCAACACGGCAACCTTGAAGTGCCTGGTGCCGAGCTTTGTGGCGGATTTCGTAGACGTGATAGAGTGGCTGGCTGTCGAGGATGGGTCCACGTACAACGCGAACAGCCAAGAAGAAAAGGGTACTCTTCTTCTCTCGTCGTCCCGATTAAAAAGAGAGGACATTTAGCTGAGACATAGGATGAGCACGCTGTGTCTCCAACGGCCATGCTAACGCTGTACACGATCAATTCTCCCTTGTACGGCTTCAGAAAGAAATCGTATATATCTCTTTACCTTTAATCTCTCTCTCATCTTCTTACGTCTCTCCTTTATTTCTTCACCGGATCGGAACATCGGATCGATACGATTTACCCTACACTTTGTTTCGTGGCTTTCTGACCTAACTCCGCGAACTCGATTTACCCCGCCCACGTTTTCTGTACCAGCTCGGCCAACGAGTTCTGGCCGGCGAGGCGGTTTGTTAATGGTATTAATAAATAGAATTACCAGCGTGCTCATCCCTATGTCACTGCTTTGACGGCGTTCACGCCGACACACATGCTTGTTTCGTCTCGTCGACGCTCTCTCAGGGTGTATAGGATACGCGATGCACTCGAACAGAGGGAAGGAGAGAGAGAGAGAGAGAGAGCGAAGACTGGGAAGGAGAGTGGTCGTGATAGAGTGGAACGTGCAATTTGCTCTCGTTTATGAAAAAGTTTGCCCTTTCCGCGGTTTTGCTGGCGCAAACAGAGCGAGCGCGGAGGCAGAGCGTGCGGCTGGCAGTGGCCTCGTTCCTCCATGCGATCCAATGGATTAGGTTAAGTCGGATTAATCGAGCCCGTCGCGCGAATTAAACGCGACCGCGAACAGGACGAGCCACTTTCTCGTTCGGCTAACGATCGGGCCCGGAGTAGGTAATACGTCGCGTACTAATGCAATTTATTTCACGGTCAGTTAAGAGAAACGCTTTGTGTGTTATATTATATTATATAGTTGAGGTGTCGGTCGATCGAATATAATTTCCTGTATTTCAATGTGTTTCAATGGATCTCGAGGAGTTCTCTCGACGAGAGAGGAGTAGATTGGGAATAACCCTGGAGAATGTACAGTCAGTTTCACAGAGATCTATATATATATATCTAGCTCTTTTGTCAAATTTTTTCACGCAAAAGTTGAAGAAGAAGAATTGCGACCCACTCGAGTAACTCACAAGTATCACTTATAATTCGAAATTTTTTTTCGAAATACTTCCTTTGAAGACACCGAGGATACGTTCTCGCGCGACAGACTGTACGTTACAATTGGATCGTTTGATTCGCGATTAAGGATGATAAAAGTGACCACGGAAATATTTGCAGTTGGTACCGCAACGAACGTCAGAGGAGCGGCATGTCGTAGAAACGGGACGGTCGGTAGCCCCGTTCGTGATTTCGGATTAGATTAAAGCCGGACTAATCAAACCGACGAGGAAATTGATGTCCGCTGGCTAGCCTAATTTCCATCGGGTGCAAAGAGAGCGTCGCCGGTGTGACTACGGTTCGTTGCTCGAACTCCAGTTTGCACATGGTATACATACACACGCTGGGTGCTATATATCTGGCCGCGCGAGAGAGCTTCATTGAAATTTTAATCGACTGGATCAAAGCTCCGCGAACACCGCGGTGTGTTCCCATCGACAACTTGTCCCTTTTGTTCGTCGTGCTCTTTTTTTTTTCTTTTCTTTCTTTTCACCTCTGTTCCGCTCTTTTTTTTCTCCATTGCAGTGGTCGCCCAATACTTTGAAGTTCAGGTTTACGATCAGTTCGCGATACGCGGGAACGCGGCGATTTTCAAGTGTCAGGTACCCTCGTTCGTCGCCGACCACGTGGACGTAGTGGGATGGATCGATTCGAACGGCGGCAGTTACACGACCGATGGACAAGCATACGGTACCAATCAGCATACACGGTGTCTAAAGATCGGGAGACGAAGGATCTTTCTCCCCCTTATGTTTTTCGCGCTGATCCACGAGCAATCCTATCAAAGATTCGTTCCTTTGATGTTTGCGTGGGCGTTCGTTGGTCGATTCGTGCAGATAATTCTGTTATCGTCGTTGGTTGACGGATCAATTATTATTCTTCCGACATGGCCGATTCTCTCGTGTTCCTCCCGTTAAACGTTGAAGATCGCACGAATTACCGAACGCTCATCGCAAAGGCGATGATCGATCGCGTCACGGATACGAGGCTGTATGTAGATGTGCGGCTTATGGTAAAACCGGAAACCGGTGTCTGGTTGCAGTTGTCGGGCAGCGGTATGCAGTGAACGTGATGGACGAACACGTCCTTCGGGGGAACGCCGCAATTATCAAGTGTCACATACCGAGCTTCGTCGCCGAATTCGTCGAGGTTGACTCTTGGATCGAAGACGAGACCACTGAAATATACCCTAGCACCGATTACGGTACACACACACACACACACATACACACGCAAGAAACAAAAAAAAAAAAAACGCTGGTACCACTTGAACGGAATGAAAAAGGATTTTGAGAGAGAAAAAGAAAGAAAAGAAAAGACAAAGAACGATGAAACGTTTTTCATTCTCTCTTTCTTCGTTTCCAACGCTGTGTGACCGCGTGTCGCGACGCTTTTACCCCCCTTTTCTTTTCGCGGTCGAAACGTCGGTAACGCGCGTGCACTCGCTTGCTCCATTTGGTCTTCAGGCGGTGAAAAGAAGCGGAAAACGGACGTTTTTATTGATATAATCGCGGCGGAGTACGCGTTTCAAGGATTCCCCGCGGGCATCGACCGGCTCTCTAGACTAATAATCAGCGATATCCTCTGCGATCCTGTGTTCTGTTCGAGCAAAAGTCGCTCTCTCGGGTTCCTGTGCAACGAACAGAGACACGCAACAGGTTACGACCGCCATTGTGAGTCGCGATCGCGAGGAGAGAAAACGGAAATCCGACGACCGTCATCGAGGAGAATATAGGTTTGCGATGCATTGAGAAAAAAAGTAGAAAAAAAAAAGAAAGAAAAACAGATCTGTCAGCAGTGTGTCTTTTTCTTTTTCTTTTTTTGAGAATAAACGGAAACGTGTTCGTTCCATCGGCCTCCACTCGAATATATTCGATCGCGTTTCTGTAACGATCGACCGACGACGGAAATGTGTCTGGCGTACGATGAGATCGTTGGAGAAAACCCGGATGCCCCTCGTTTCGGGAAAGTAAACGCCGAACTATTCTTGAAACTGTTCGTACGACGTTGACTGCCGCTGCTCGCGCTGTCCCAGACTTCCCTCCTTTTTCCGAAATTCTCTCTCTTATGGTTCCACTAACTCTCTCACCGACCCCTCTTCCCCTATGTAATACTACTATATAGCAATACACGGTGTTGTGATTGTTGTTATCGCTTGTAGTTGCTGTTGATTGCATGCATCAGGCACGTTCGTCAGGCGGTATTTTCTACACCGGAAGTCGTCGAGAACTTAACTCCTCATCTCGTGTCACACTTTCATGACGTTAGCTACGGAAATGAAATTTATCTACAATTCACTTCGAAGTGAAATTTTAATAAAATCCACATACTTTGGAATCTCTTCGTAGGAAGAGTAACGCAATTAAAACCACTATCTCTAGGAACGGATTAAAAGGATTGAAGGGGAGTATCGTAGAGAAAGATCAACACGTTCGATAACCGTGTTCTTAAACCGTTTTCACAGGCAAACCGGGAACAATGCAAACTCGATATTCCCCTCCTAGCCGTTGTTTGACGAACGGGCCTGAATCCGGCGAAACGATTTCGTCGAACGTTGAAAAGCGGACAAGATAGATAAAGAGTCTGTCGCTATTCAACGTTCAACGAACTTGGCCAAGGTAGTAAAAAGGTAATGGAGAGTGCATGCCGGCCAATGTATTAATCAAGACGGCATTGTACTCGGCACACTGGTTGGCTACGTGTGCACCAACGATGTGTGACGAGTATCGTATGCGGTTCTCGGGGATAATTGAATATTTCTGATTGCCAGATCTCTGTATATACATACGTGTATATATCAGTATGAACATACTAGCAAGCGTAAAATATCGTCCAGTTCGATTAAACTGTTCCAATAGAACCGATATCTGGTCTACATATGTCTTTTCCGATAAGTCAATTATCCCCGAGTTAGAAAGTTGCACCGGTTGAATCAACGCCGAGAAATAATCTCTGTGTATTTTTCAAACCTGTGACTCGGTCACTCGAACAGATGGAAAATACCTGGTACTGCCTTCTGGAGAACTGCATATTCGTGATGTTGGACCCGAGGACGGATACAAGACCTACCAGTGCCGCACCAAGCATAGATTGACCGGTGAAACCAGATTGTCTGCAACCAAAGGACGCCTCGTCATTACCGGTAAGTGACGAACAGAAGAATGGAACACTTTTCATCTTTTATACAAATCACGATTCTGATTCGTAGATAATGATTTTCATTCGTACAATCGAAATATCGAAACTTCGATACCTTACGGTTCTTTGTACATATTTAAATATACAGGTGTTGCCTTCAAAAAAAAGAAAAGAAGAAAAAGAAAAGAAAGTTAGAATCAGAATCGTGTTTGAAAGTTTCGAACCCGGACGATAATCGTAGAATTTTCGTTTCTTTAACCGCGACGAAATTAAAAACGATATTTCCAACCGCGATCGACGTTCTTCTTGCTTTTCCCCCTTTTTCTTTCCTTCCTTTTTTAATAACGCGCGCGCTTTCAGTTCGCCGTGGGAAATTGCTCCCGCCTACATAACCGCGTGCATGAAACGAGGATTCTTTTGCGATGTAAATGGTTCCTATGTACAAGCGACGATGCCGAATTCGTGTTGCACGGCTCGGACTCTAATTACTCTTTTATCCGCGCCGAGCGTTGAATTTTCGGGGGAAAAGTTTAGTCTGGGTTCGAAACTGTTGACCGGGGCAATTGATTTTCCTTTACCGAGGGACAGAGTAAACAGTTGCAGGGTTTCGGTGCGATTAAGTGATCAAGGAATATCTCGTGTCGATGCACCTTGGAAAATCAGTTACCTCGGGCTGAAGTAGTCACGTCGATGTACGTGTAATCTTTTCCACCAACCAGCTTGATCCTATTAGCCTTCGGTAAATATGGAATCACTTTGCTACGCATACTTGAATAGATCAAGCTGATTGGCAAACCTGAATGCTGGGACAGGGTACCCCTGCGGGCACGCGCCACCGCCCGCCCATGATTTGACTCTTGGCATGATCGGTTTCGATGAATATTTTCCAAATCAGAAACAAAGAAATTTGAACGAAAAAAAGAAAAAGACAAAATGGATAAAAATTCTTCCGACGCTTTGCGGCGCCCTCACGCGATCTCCGGGCTCTGTCCTTCGCTCTCGCGTTGGTAAGTGAAAAACGTCACTCTAATATTTCACACGAAACTTGGAAGATCTAGACAACCTACGACACGTGGAATAGATGTGATGCTCAATGCAGCTGTCAGCTTTCAATTTCGTTCGTTCCCGTCGAACGATGTATACATAATGTACTCCTGTTTCGCGTGCTTCTCGATCATTTTTTTTACGATCAACCGTCGTTCGTATTTCGAGAGAATACAACACAGCTTCGTTGGGTATATACAGAACTATTCTATCGTTCGACGATCAATCGGTCAACGATACATATGGCAGGTGCGATTGTCACTGTCGTGATACGAAAAAAGAAAGAAGAAGCGATTCCACGGTGGCTGAATCGCGTAGTATCCGATACAATTAGGCTAAACCACAGCCAAGATGAAGTAACAAGCGATCACAATGACGACGAAGGGCCCGAACAGGGGGCCTACGCGCCGCCAAACGACTCCGCACAGTGTGATATAGCGTTTTCGTTGTGGAACAGAACCTGTGGGGAGCGTACGGCCAAAGTTTCCTTCAATGGACAACATTAACGGACTTTCGACGGAATCGAAAGGCAGTTTACCGCTTCTCTGCCCTGCCCAAGGATTCCCGGTACCGGTTAATAGGTACGATATATCTCTGATCAACGATGCGCGGCACATGCTTCAGCATGATCGTAAAAGAAAGGGAACCGCGGAGTTGTGTAGGCAAGACTAGAGAGAGGCATTTGAAATACCGAGAGAAAAGTAGGCTGTTCAGAATGTCTGCGGAGGAGTATTTTAACTAGACTTCTTACCAAGAAACCTCTTCGTGTATATTTCACGGAATTATTCGTCTTCTAATTAACGTGTTAAAAATGAAAATGGTTGGGCAGTTGGAATTGCCCTGTTTCCCTCAGGGGTTCCCCGTTTCGTACGCAAATGGATCAAATCGTTGACATTCTTCAATTCGTGTACACTTCAGAACCTGTAGGCAGTGTTCGACCAAAGATTCCTTCGACAGACGACATTCGTGGATTCAGGACTATGGTGAACGGAAATCAGGCTTTGATATGCCCTGCACAGGGGTTCCCCGTTCCCATAAGCAGGTAGAAAATCAATTTAGAACAAGATGAATCTAACTTAATCCCAATGGTTTAACGGCCGTTATCGGTATTTGGAAAGCGAAGTTGCTGTTTGATTGTATAATTAGAGCCGGTTGGAAGCGTGAGGCCGAAATTCCCGACGATCGACGACTCCAGGAGTTTCCGTACGATCAAGGATGGCTCTGTGACCCTTCTCTGCCCCGCACAGGGGTACCCTACCATGGTGTTCAAGTAAGTTTTCGGACTGGCGACGATCGATACCCTCTGCTCTTTCTTTTTTTCCAATCTTCACTTGGACGCAGAACCTGTGGGAAGCGTCCGGCCGAAATTCCCATCCGTGAGCAATATAAACGGTCTGTCGGTGGCGACCAATGGTACGCTGCCTTTGCTCTGTCCCGCGCAGGGATATCCGGTGCCAAATTATAGGTATGTTCTCGAGTAAAAAAGTCACGAAGAATGCTGGAAAGTTTGGTGGAAGTTTCGTCACACGGGAAAGTCTAGAACTCGTTTAATCTCTGACAAGGAAGTGTGAGAAAGATTGTCGGAAAGATGAGTCGCAGAAGGCTGGCGTGGAAAACCAGTTCTATGGAAACTTTCCAAGTAAAGAAGTGTTTGGAATCGTGGAAATTTCTCGATTTATTCTGCAACAACATTCTTCTTCATATGGTAGCAATCTTTTCGATTTTTCGATCAAATCTATCTTTGTCAGGTCTACAGCTGTTGGAAACACTCTTACTTCCCTGTTCTAGTATTACAATTAGTTTCGTTAAAACGGGTCGCGTGACACTTCCCCTTGTTACAATTTCGCGGTCGTCGAGGTCCGTCCAGGGGTTCCCCATCCCTCTTTCGCAATCAGACATCGAGTGTTCCCGCTGCGTGAACTCAATTTGATAACGTTCAGAACCAGTGGGCAGCGTGAGACCGAAATTCCCGACGATCGACGACACCAGGGGATTTCGCACGATGAAAGATGGCTCGGTGACGTTGATGTGCGCCGCCCAAGGGTTCCCTGTCCCCGTACACAAGTAAGTCGACGAGTAAATTTTGCGTCGACCGAAAATATGGTAAAAGAAAAAACACCCTTGCCTGTTCTCTTTGCTTTCGACAACGATTCGCAGAGCCCGTGACGAGTACACGGCCGAAACTCTCCAGTACGATCAACTTGATCGGACTCACGACGAAGATGAACGGAAGCTTGCCGCTTTTCTGCCCCGCCCAAGGATTCCCCGTTCCGTCTTTTAGGTAGGGAAGCTTGTTGATAAGTTTTCGAGAGATAGAGGATCCAAGATTGTTCCCAAAGTGCTTTTCAACTGAATAGTTTGTAGCACACTTCACCTTTGTTCCCTCGAGATCAAAGGACGAGTGGTTGCGCTAAATAACCGATGTTAATCTGCGTTTCGTGGTACAACCACGAATTATGGAGCAACAGCTGCTCTAACGTATACCATATACCCGCACGATGTTCTGGATCGACGAATGCCACTCTATTCGGGACTATGTTGTTCTCCGCGAAGGGTTCCCTGTCCCCACTGACGTGTCGCCGTCGTTTCTTACGCGTTTATTCCCCTTGGGATTGCTCACAGAACCCGTGGGGAGTGTCAGACCAAAGTTTCCTACCATGGATAATTCTAGAGGATTCGTGTCGAGCGAGGAAGAAATTCTGACACTGCTGTGCCCTGCTCAAGGATTCCCTGTTCCGTCGCATAGGTGGGATATGGTCGCAAAGTAGATTCACCATTGAATACGGTTCAAGAGGCTTAGCTGTGATCGTTGATTATCTAGGAGGAACTAGAATTGGATCACCCTGTCCCGGTGCTCGTAGAATATGCTCAATGATCACGTCTGTATTGGAGGTATTTTCTGATAGAACCGGTGGCCAGCACTAAACCAAAATTCCCGATGACGGACACGTCGCGTACGTACACAGTTCACTGCGATCTGCCTCTGACTCTGATGTGTCCAGCTCAAGGATTCCCTGTTCCATCGCATAGGTGGGATATGGTCGCAAAGTAGATTCACCGTTGAATACGATTCAAGAGGCTTAGCTGTGATCATTGATTATCCAGGAGGAAGTGAAAATTGGATCACCCTGTCCCGGCGTTCGTAGAATATGCTCAATGATCACGTCTGTATTGGAGGTATTTTCTGATAGAACCGGTGGCCAGCACTAAACCAAAATTCCCGATGACGGAGAACTCGCGTACGTACACGGTCCACTGCGATCTACCTCTGACTCTGATGTGTCCAGCTCAGGCGTTCCCCGTTCCAGCCTTCAGGTACAGAGAGCCTCGAATTTCTCGAAACTAACTAACTCTGTCGAAGAAATCGTGCAGCTGGGGAAAGGAGATCACAATAGCTACGTGACTTTCTTCCTATTTGTCGTGAACATGTTTCTTGCTATCCAGAGCCCGTCGCAAGTACTCGACCGAAATTCCCGTCGTTGGCGGATTTGCAAGCGTTCAAAATGGCACTCGGTGGTGCGATGACGTTGCTGTGTCCTGCCCAAGGGTTCCCCGTTCCGTCGAACAGGTACAGAGAATCCAGAAATCTCGACGAAAGTATGAAAGCAACCGCGATAGGCGACGCCGCGAGACGACTTATCCGCCAGTTTTCCTATTCTTCGACCACGTGTTTCTTGCTATCTAGAACCTGTCGCAAGTACTCGACCGAAATTCCCGTCGTTGGCGGATTCACAGACGTTCAAAGTGATACTCGGTGGTGCGATGACGTTGCTGTGTCCTGCCCAAGGGTTTCCCGTTCCGTCGTACAGGTTACAGAATCCCTCTACCACCTCGATCTCAGTTCCCATCTCGCGAATCGCGTAATTTTTTCGTCAGAGCCAGCATCCAGCGCGCGTCCACAAATATCTGGACCAACTGATCTTCTGCGATTCAGCGCCTCGTCCCAGAAAAGTGTCACCC